TAGTTTATTCAGTGGTCTGAGCTCCATCGACACCTTTGAATATAAAACCCAAACCATCTTACACACAGCAACAAGAATTAAAAGAAATAGTCATCGTGTTTCTGTTTTTCTGTAATTTAGTTAAATTGACATTTTAAGTACATACAGTTCATTGGCATTAACAGAACCAAAGCTTCGATAGACTGCACTACATTACACAGTTCAGCGTGAGTGATTCAGTGTGCTAGCAGCTCGTCTGCAGCCAGAGAGCTGGATGACAGTTAAGCTAACAGAAAGCAACTGATCACTTCAGCTGCATCGTTTAGCTCTTTTTTTATTTTTTTTGCATTCAGCATAATATTAACATTTTGTGCATGCACTTTAAAAGGATTAAATATGATTCTTCTGCAAAATAAATGCACATTTTTCAATGCAATATGCAGCATACCCTCCTACAAGCCTCTGTCATAGGATTTTAGGTACATTTGCAGTCTTGGAATTAATTAATAAGTTAATTTTCTCAATGGTTCGGTGTCTTTCAGCGAAGTAGATCGTGCTCGGTGAAGGCGGACTTAATAGCGGGCTGAATTTGTGGAAATTGATTTCTTGGAGTGCTGCAAACTGTGGTGTAATCTGATAAAGGAGCGGACTGTCTCAGCCTCCTGGACCTCAGTTTGGCTTTTTAAGATCAGGCCGCAAAAAACGCTACTCCATTACAGTAACAAGAGTAAAATATAACTCGTTACTTCCACTCCGGTGTGTCATTACTGTCACCCCTTTGCCCTCAGCAGTCAGGCGCTGTTGATGTGGCGTGTTGGGGTTTTGGATGGTGCTTTCAGCTCTCTAATCTGGAGAGCAGAGAGGTGCTGCTGTCGCTGCCAGACTGACTGACAGGCAGGCGGAGAGGACCCAGCTGTGATGGCTGGTGTCGGCTCAGTGGCAGCCTTATGATGAATTGCCTCTCTTGAATGATAGCGCTGTTACTGAATGATACTGACGCAGGATTGTTCTGTCAGCATCTCACCGGCGACCGCAAATAAAGAAATAAATAAACGAGCGAGAAATGAAGCGCCGCGCAACCTGCCTCCCCATCTTTTTATTTTTCATTAAAGTTGCCACCTCTCATAGATCTCCATACGCAGCGATATGGAACTGGAAGTTTGTGCAGATATGCGGCGGAGAAAATTGCCTTGTAGAACCAGAAATGTAGCCAAACTTTTGAGTGATTGAAAGCCTCCTCTTGTTTTTTTTTTCGTACTTTTATTTCCAACAAAGTATGCATATCTG